CCCCCCCCCCTCCCCTACCCCCTCCCCCCTCCCCCCTCCCCCCTCCAGCCAATTCCATCAATCGAAGTGAGAAGAGAGTAGCCGAGAAGAAGGTACGGAGAAAATTCAACCGCATCTTTTTCTTGTCGATCTCTTCCTTCCCGACATTTCTTTTTTGCTATTTCGTTCCGCTTCTATTCGGTTTTCTATTCTATTCGATGATTTTCTATTCCTCGTGTCCCTAGGAGCAATCGCACAATCGCACAATCGCACAATCGCATTGTTAACGCGAAATTAGGCGATAAACATGAGTTAAATACTCTCGATAGCGTAAGTTAAGTAAGAGGCTCGAATCCGCAACTCACCTCCTCTCCATTTTCCCACGTGTAAAGAAGAAAAATTTGCGCCACTAGCTTTTTCTATAATGCATAAGCGTAAGAAGGCGGTAATTAAGCGAGCAAAGATCGTGCGTAGTCCTTCGACCGGAACAGAACTCATAGGTTCACAGAAATGTTAAAATCACGCAGAATGGCTAAACGAGTGCCGAGATTATCTGGACAGAGACGTTCCCTCGGGGTTTGCACCATCGGTCCCAACCACCACGCGTCCACCGCAAAAACACAGCGTGCCACCAATAGAAGGGGAGTTTTCGCAACGACCGAGCGAGCGCCAATTACGCGGGGGCCCCGAATGCGGAAGCGCCTGCGCTCGCATTGTGAGTAGCGCGGGAAAGTCCGAAAATCCTGGCCCGGTTCCAGTCTGGTTGGCCTCCTTGAAAGACGGGGGCCTCCTTGGGCGCATTACTCAACGTCTCCCGCCGTCGCTGCTTTGCGACGGTGGAGGGGAAGGGGGGTCTGGGCGGCACTGGGAGAGACACGAAAAGTATACCTTGGGAAACTCGTCCGCGCCTTGTGAGCTCGATCGCAGGAGCGGAGCCTTACCCCCCACCACCTCTACAAACGTATGTGGTTTCGTCTAATTGGCCGAGGGAAGGAAATATCGCATTTGATAGCATTATGGTCCGATCGATGGATTAAGAACGTTAGATGCCCGTGCGACGGCGTACTTTCGAGCTTTTCAAAGTTGCACCGCTCCTCCATCAAGCTCTCCAATGATTTTCCGTGTAATTTTTCTCGCTCTTTTCATTTTCATCGTCGTCCATTTTTATCTCCATCATTCTCCTCCTCCTCCTCCTCCTCCTCCTCCTCTTCCTCCTCATCCTCCTCATCCTCCCCTCTTCCTCCTCCTTCACTTTTTCTTCTTCTTCTTCTTCTTCTTCTTCTTCTTTTTCTTCTTGTTATTATTATTACTTTTATTTCTCTTATTTTTTCTTTTATCCTCTTTTTTTTTGTTTTGTTTTTGTTTTATTTTGTTTAATAAGGCCTCTTACTGTTATTAAGTAATCATGATAATGATCGTCCAAGGTTGAGCCGTAATTATTCCGTACACTTAATTAGAGTTTCCGATCACGCGAAAGCCCGCGACGATATACTCCCGGATTATTCGCCATAGTTTTGTCCATACTAAACCTCATTATAATTGTACGTGGCTTATTGATGCTAGCATATTGGGGAATGGGTGGGGGTCGTAGCGATAAATTTAAAAATGACTTAAAAATCTAATTTTAGTATGCAAATGTCTTTAATTCGCCGCTACGAAGCGTCTGGTTGGAGAGGGAAGAAAAAAGAAGGAACGGCCGCAAATAATAAGCTAACAAATGAGCAGAAGATCATTAACTCGTTCTCTCACACTCCGTATCTCCCCTCTCACCCTCCACCACACTCACCGTTGGCCACCCTCGCATTTTAAAATAAAATATCACGTGGGTTTTTTTCCTTCCCTTCTCCCGGTGCACGAGTCCACGTCGCGAATACGTAGAAGGTGTGCGTGCCCGTGCCACGGCCGGGTGGCTAATGTAAGGTCCAGCCCCTCCCTACGCCCTACCGCCGGCGCCGGGGTCAGCCTAGCGTAGCCTCCTTGGAATCACAATGCGTGGTCCGCGGCGAGCGCACTTTCCCAGGCGGACCACAACACCGTGGCGACCCCACCTACGCGGTCTCCTCCGCCTCGAAGACGCATTCGTCCTTTTTCCATAGCTCGTCCTCCCCCTCTTTCTCCGGGCCGCGCGCGCACGCCTCGATCACCGCGAGGCCCCATATTCTCCCGGCCATTTTTATTAGCGAATCTCCCTTCGAATTCCTTCCGACGCGCTGCTCCTCTAACCGGAAGAGCCCCGAGCGTCTAGCACCGATATTACTGGAATTCTAATTTCGCCGCTTACTTGGTTAATAAGACATTGCAACGATGTGGTTTTGACTGCGCGGTTTTAGCCTCTTTCTCTCTCTCTCTCTTTCTCTCTCTCTCTCTCTCTCTCTCTCTCTCTCTCTCTCTCTCTATTCCAATTAAATGCTAAAATTTAATGTTGCACGGCTGCCGGACTTCGACCTAGCACTTTATCAAAAAATACTTATTATAATGACAGAGTCTCATCCGAGCTCGAACTTTGTGACGATAAAGGGCGGGTGGGGCCAATGAATAAGGGGGCCAATTGCCGTTCGTAAAAGGCAGAATTCTTACGCGGGCCGCGTCCCATCTGTGCCAATTCCCGCATTCTAAAGGAAGAGGAGCTCCTACATCGTCGAAAATCACGCGTGCACCCCTTTGCTTTCTCCCGTCCAACTTTTCTCATTAACGACGCTCGCGAGGGTCATTAGCAGTCGGTGTATATATTTACGTTGCGCTCGAGGCGAACGTTCCTCCTCGTCCACCTCATCCTCCTTCACCACCTCCCTCGTCCAATCTCATCCCATCACGTGTACGCGCGCGTTAATCCGGCGAATCGATTCACAGAAGAGAATATCGCCGTGCTCGAGGCCTCTTTAAGGATGGCATACCTGGGCTACTGGTTTTGCCGACCTCTGAATTTTCGGCTCGCCGCCGTAATTTGCTCGCCTTCTATGGAAATCGAATCGAGCCATCCATTTATGCGGGGGCCCTCTTTCTTCTCTTTTTCTGACGACTACGACTACTACTTCACAACGACGACGACGACGACGACGACGACGACGACGACGACGAAGCCCTGCTGCAACATTTTATCCAGCATCATTTTATTTATGTTCAATTCCAAACTCTACATATGCTTACGTTCAATCGATAAACATTCATTCCTCCGAATCGAG